AGGAAATCCATTGCGACCCTAGCCGTGTGAGGACGAGCGTTGTCCTGTTGAAATGTCAATCCCGGGCCATGACGTTGCAGGAAAGGAATGACCACAGGCCTCAGAATCTGATCTCTGTAGCCAACACCGGTGAGATTGCCCTGAACAACCACCAAAGGGGTTCGGTGCCGTGCTGTTATCCCACCCCAAATCATCACAGACCCACCTCCAAAACGATTCCTCTCCACAATACAGTTGCGTGCATAACGTTCTCCCAAACGCCGGGAGACACGTTGGCGCCCGTCACTGTGGGAAATGTTGAACCTCGATTCATCTGTAAAGACAACACTCTCCACCATATTCGAGGTTGGCGAACATGATTTCGAAACCATCTTAGACGGTTGACTCGATGACGGTGTGTCAGGATGGGACGTATGGCAGGGCGTTGTGGTCGAATCCCGTACTGACGTAAACGATTCCTGACAGTGTTGGGATGGATACGGCGCAGTCCAGGAATTGTCTGGGACGTCGTTACTGCCGTTTGGAACCTGTGTCGGAGATGTGTAACTCCAATCCATCTGTCTGTCTTGGCGTCGTTACTCGGGGACGTCCTGAACGTGGGTGGTCGGTAACGTCATTTGTGTTCTGATAACGCCTCACCAATGCCGATATCGTGTTACGATGGCATTGGAAATGTGTTGCCACCTGTTGTTGCCTCATTCCCGCTCGGATCATTACAATGGCTTCATGACGCTGTGCAGCTGTCAATCTTGGCATGATTTGCTTGTGATATGCTTGTGTCTGCGCCTGAGAAGTTTTGAATTTTTGAATGACCACAGATCATGCTTTCCAAAGTGACAGCGAATTTTGAGCTGCACATGCTGTGTACAGCTGCGTACAGCTGCACAGGATACACGTGCAGTAACACATTGCACGCCCATAGGCCCCCATCAATGACGTTATATCGCATGGCACGTGCATGAGCGTTTGAATGTCTCCAATAATTGCTGTGTTCAAACCTATATTTCATATATGGACGGTGTGCCCTTATATCTATATTTTCTCCGTGCACAGTTTCTTTATGTGGCTAGTATATAAGTCAAGTCACCTCTCCAATATATCTCCCAGGAACAAATCCCTTTTGGTCCTCATTTATTATAACATGTCACACAGTTTTGCTATCACTGCTGATGCAAGTTTATAAGATGTATTAAAAAATGAGATTGGGCGCCAATTTTTTAAGAAAAGCTTTGCCTATCTTCTTTTGGTAAGCAAGTAATAACTTACGATACTTCTGCTACCTGTACGGTTCCCTAGCAAGATTAACACCATCCCTTCAGCTGCTGGCGATGATACGGAATTAATTAAAATGACAAATATACTACGTTCTAAAACATCGGTAGGAAAAAAGGTACATGAATGATGTCTTATAATGGGGTACACCCACTAACAATCTAAGTTACAAATTTAACACTATCAATTTCATAAAAAAAACTATCTTCACAATTCAAAATTTATCAATAAGTCCTATTTCTTTTAAAAAAACTATAATTAACTGAGGAAGAGAATTTATGGATGTCAACTTCTTTGTTATGAAGAACACAAAGTTTCGGAGGATATGTTTTATCCTTCATCAGGTGAATGAATTAACATATCTGCCTAGTGCTTGGTACTTATTGCTTGGATCTTTGTTAGCGCCAATTATCTAGTTGGCTTCCATTTGCCCATTGCTATCCTTTACCCAACAGTACCAATTATTCCCTTGTTAATTTTCCACTTTTTGTTATCTTATTACGTTTGTTGTTCTTACACGTACATATATATGCTCTCTGCCTCATATCCTAAACCTAACAACTAAATGCAGTAAAGACCTAAACACCCTAAGATGCCTAACTGGCTCTAACTGGGGAGCCTCCAAAGATTCCCTCCTCTCTCTCTACATATCACTAATTAGATCAAAACTAGACTACGGCTGCGCCATATACAACACCCTAAACAACTCTCTATCTAAAAAACTTGACTCAATACAATATCAAGCTCTCAAACTAATTACACGCACCCAACATGGCACCTCCTACACCTCACTTCAGGCCTTAACAGGAGAAATGCCACTAAGTCTATGCAGGGAACAGCTAAGCTTAAATTTCTGGGCCGCGTCCCAATCAAACCCTCTCATCCAAAACTTAATAAACCAAAACATCAGCCCCCAAAACCAAGCCCTAGCTCGTAAACACCCCTTACTTACCCCGATATCCCAAAGAATAACAAACTACCTAAATGAACACCAAATTAAAAATCTTAAACAAAACTGCAAACAATCAAATATCTTCACCCCTAAACTTAAAATACCCAAAATAGACACAACACTAGCTAGCCAAATAAATAAACAAACCGACCCAAACATAGCTAAAACTACCACACTAGCATACATACACGAAAATTGGCCAAATTGGTGTCACACTTACACGGACGGATCCTCAGATCCGACCTCCAAACACACAGGTTTCGGAGTCCATACCACACAAACCAACTAAAACCACACAATCCTTCCGACTCCCAAACAACCAATCAATATTCACGGCAGAACTAATGGGCATGGCCTCAGCCCTCCATAATCAAGAATCCAAAAACCACAAAAAAAATCCTAATACTTACCGACTCCCTAAGTGGACTGCAAGCCCTCCAAAACAAAAATACCAAAAACCGACCTAAATTAATAAATCAAATACTTAAAAGCTCCAACGACCTAACTAAGGCAGGCAAACAAATTGCCTTCTTGTGGATACCCGCCCACGTAGGAATATACGGTAATGAAAACGCCGATAAAGCAGCTAAACTATCCCTCAAAATCCCAGAAATAAGCTTTAACTTACCAATCTCAAAATCAGAAATTAAAAGTGTTAACAAGCAAAAAATCACAAAAAAATGGCATAACCTATATCTAAACTCAAATAGCCAAATCAAAAAAGTGCTCAGCAAACCACTAACCAAACCAAAAATTCTCCACCCATCAAAAAAATCGACAGAGTAATCACTAAACTCCAAACAGGACACACCAACCTAAATATCCACCTAAAAAAAATAAAAAAACACACAACAAGTAACTGCCCACACTGCAAACAACTAGAAACCCCAGAACACGCACTCATCCACTGCACACACTACCTAACACATCGAACCGCATTGCAAACCACCCTCAATATAAACAAGGCTCTCACTCTAGAAGCAATACTAAACCCACAAAATAAACTAGAAAACTTCAAGGCCTTAGGCGTATTCTTAATCAAAACGGAACTTATAAAACGCATCTAAAAACACAATAACCTACCAAATCAAAATCACATAAACAAACAAACATCCACCATACCCAGCTCCCTTAGTTCTCCTCCCCAACACCATCGGCATCTATTCCAAATCTCAAAATTACCAAATTCTATATAAGCCCCCTCTTGGGTTGCATACACCACTTTCGCCCCTTTCGGAAACACATTAAATGGCCTGGCCGGGCCCGTGTGCGAAATACGCATCAGTCGGAAAGCGCACGTTAAATCTCCAAAGTAAGTAAGTAAGTAAGCATATTATTCATTCACCTCCGACTCGTTGTGTACCCCATAATAAAGAAGTTGGCATCCATAATTTCTCTAAATGCCTTATATGCTTAAATGAGAATTAATATTTGTAAAGAGATGATGATCTTAAATATTTCTCTTATGTGATGGGAAAATCAACAGAGTCAAGCAGGACATGCTTGACCGTGATTCCTTCATCACAAGTGACACAAAACGAAGGATCCTCACCTTTCAATAAGTATCCATGTATGTATCTGGAATGGCAAATACGACATCGTCTTAGTATGACCTCTTCAAATCTGGACCGAAAACCCAAGTAGGTGTAACCGATACTTGGTTTTATTGAATGTATTTTTTTATATCTACTTGGGTGTCTTCTGCATTAGATCTCGGATGTAACATCTAATTACATGTTTATAATCGCTGTATGGGAGAAGAAGTGGTGTCACCGATTTGTTGAGAGCTGCTCAAGCTCGGGTATCTACCAATGTGTTACCAACGATCCCAACATGGCTGGGTAACCAACAAAAGACGATGTCGTATTGTTCAGTAGCAAGATTATTATGAAATTCAAGTGAAAAATGTCACGTAAAACTTGATGTTGACACGAAGTATATTTTATTGCCTCTAAACAGAGCAGCGAGTCTGAAACAATAATGAATTCCTTGTGTTTAGACTGTTTACTTATACATTCCAGATCTGTTAAACTGGCCTGTGATTCGGCTGTGAAAATGGGTGTTATCTGGTAATAACGTTCTGCATCCAATTATAGTGGCGCTGGCAACAGCATCACCATCCTTGGATCCATCTGTACAAATAGATTTGTGAGTATCATATTCGCTTCTTAACTAAATATATACTAAACCGCAAAAGAAACATCACCATGGATAGATATATGAAAAATCTTATTTGTCCAAACACTGTAAACATACTTTGAGACGACCACAGGGCCGACCCTCTGTGCAAGACCAATTGCAACCCACACCATGATGCTCGGACCAAAACAACACAAGCATCCGAGATGACTCTCCCTCGGCCATCACTGGTGATGGCGCCAATGCTGGTGCTGTGTTGCCCACTGACGATGGTCCCGGCGATGACGGGGTCAGAATGGGTCCTCGGTGTGGCCTGTGACAGTGGAGCTCGTCAATCGTCGACGCACGGTGTCCACACTAATGTGTCGCTGGTGTGTCCTCATTGTCTGTTGTGTAGTTTCCACAGCAGTAACAAAGCAATTTTGAAGAAGCTGTCGCACAATCTGACGATCCCCACGTCGGGTGGTGAGCCTTGTTCTTCCACTACGTGGTCGGTCATCTGTAGTGTAGTCTGGTACCGTTGCTTGAGCCTGTATATGGTCCTTACGTGGACTTATAATGCATTGGCTACTTGCCGGGCACTTTGTCCAGCTTGTAATCGTCCAAGGGCTTGGTGCCGCTGATTTCTTGTCAATCTTGGCATGTGGTAGCAATTCAATAACGAATAAATGTTATCCCATCTGGGTGGATTTTTATAGGGCAAGAAAACGCATGTGCATTTAAATTTGCACGGAACTCACGTGCATCGGGTTACCATGGCCTTTGTTGTGATGCATTTGGGCGATCCGTTTTATTGTCATCTGCTTTGGGGTGTTTTATCATCAAGTTTAATTTTTCCGGACAAGGTAATGTTAAATTTCAGGATCTTTGACAAAAATTACCCATTACCAAGATATTTAAATGCAATGCTACTTGGGGTGACGTTACTTTTGCGGTTCAGTATATTCATGTTGATATTGTAGTTGATTAGTGTCAGATTTCTTTAGTTTAGATAAGGATCCAGACCCAGAACCACAGGTGGCTTTACCAATTGGCAATTAGGAGAAGAAAGCAGACTGAAAAGAGATTTTCTTTCGATTTCAATATTAGCAGCAGGAATAAAAAGTTTAATTCTGATTCCTGGGGATGGGATAAGAGATGACTTCTTGTTGAAAAGTTCCTCATTAGGAGGGGTTGAAAAGCAGTTATAAGCAGTATTTGACTCATTTCAATATGATTTCATTATGTATTGTAATGATAATTTTATACGGTGCTGTTTAAGAGATGGCTCATCGGCCTCAATGTACAAACTGCCAATAGAGATGGTTCGGAAAGATCCAATACCTTGGTCTTAGACCTTGATGGTGGATAGAATCTTAAAGTTGCTTTTAAAGGCTCCACCATGGATTCAAAGTTGAGTTTTGAAAGAATTAGTGATCTTTTCATGTGAAGAAGGGTCCAACCGACGGCATAGACAATCATTGACAATCATCAACTTTCGGATCTTTGAGGCGATTCTATGCAGCAGAAGGCACCTATACCATATAATTGCGAGGCGAGGCGAGGACGAATACAGAAAGAGTAGATTAGTCTTCGCCCAAAGACACTAAACTGTATGCTAATTTCTGCTAATATCAGCATACCAAACTGCATTGACCTTGGTCGGTCAGTAATGCGTACAGTGCAACTTTACTTGTCCTTTTTCTGATTGCATAACCAGGGTGGAGAGATGCAAAGAGTATTGATCCTTGTTAGTAGGCATGCGTCAGGGTCTTTCCCAAAGCCTCCATTATTTCCGACCCACGGCAAGCATCGCGTCCATCTGCACCCACCCATTTGCCACAGTCATGTCAACATGAAGACGAAAACCAGTTACTTGGAACGAAGGTGACTGAAACATGTAATATATACTTCGGTAATCCTTAGTTTTAATTTGAACACTATAACATCAACACATGAATACATATATAATATACTGGCATGCACAGTGTTTAATAATTGATCTTTGCACACATTTGAAATGATCCATATGTAAATGCTTATATGTAATATGTAAAAACGAGATATAGCAGATAGCTCTTGTTGCTATATACTAAATATAAATAGTCTCACTGGTAAACCTTATCCCCAAAGCACTAAAAAGAGCACAAGATTAAAGATGTAAAACCCCGTCCACATGACAAGAGTCTCAGTGAGTGAGCGAGTTTTATAGAAATAATCCAGTCTTATTACGATGGATTATACAAAGAAAGCAACTCATGTCAATGTGCCAGTGTTGGTAATCAAAGCCTTATTTTTCGGCACAGAGAGAACCCTGTAACCCCTTCTCTACCCAGCCACCCTAGAAAATGTTCTTATCTGGTAACTTTACCAACCTCTGTTGAATTAGGCAAATCGTATACCTCTTCTATACTCCAGGTGTATTATTAAGATATATACATTACCTGAATTCGAACTCAAGTCATGGTTGCCATAGCTCGATTCGGGCCGATGGAACAAATAACATACATTTACACTTGCCTATCATGCAACAATTATCCTGATTCAGTAAATAAGTAAGTCGCAGCCTGAAGTCTAATACCTGGAAGTCTGGTGCAAAGATCCTGCTGTGAGGGATGACCACGATGTTTGGTGTTGTCCAGACAAGGTGCCAGCTGTTGGCCGTGTCTCGGACAGACAGGTTCTGAAGGCCGCCAGCGTGGTAGGTTTCGTATATGTACACTTGATCCACGAACATAGGTTCCGAGATGGCCAACTGAGTGAAAAAGTGGGGGAATGTAAATACAAGGATTGGAGTGAGTGAGTGAGTGAGTATGGTTTTACGCCGCTTTTAGCAATATTCCAGCAATATCACGGCTTCACACATTGTACCCATGTCGGGAATCGAACACGGGTCTTCGGCGTGACGAGCGAACGCTTTAACCAGTAGGCTACCCGACCTCCCCGTTCAAGGATTGGAGAGAAGATGAGAGGCGAGTACCACAGGCACTCTTCACATTAATCACGAGGAAGTTTTAACGAGGATCGTAAATACTAAGTGTAAATGTCTTAGACTCATGTGATATGGTTTCATAAATTGCATTTCATTTCCAATTCGATTCCAATGCTTGATCCAGTGATGGGGGAATCCAGAATTAGGGAAAGCAGTGGGTCAGTGGCAGGCGGTGATCAAGAGACAAGGAAAGTAGTGGGTCAGTGTTATGAAGGGATCCACACAGAGAAAGCAGTGGGCGAATACTATGAGAGAATCCAAAGATAGGGAAAACAGTTGGATAATGTAATACGGGAATCCGAAAAGAGGGAAAACAGCCGTCAAATGTTATGATGGGATCCAGAGAGTGGGAATGCAGTGGGTCAATGTCATTGAAAGCAGAGGGTCTTACTCTGACAATGATCCAGAGAGGACATATAACGGGTGCGTATTTGCGCCTATTTAAAACTTAATATGGTTTCATGAAATATAAAACGACTACCATACACAAACTGATTCGCATCTTATTTGCATTCAAATAGCGCTTGTATCCTAACTTGCGGCCACAAACTGCGTCCCCTTTCCGCGGTTTTCGTGCTTTGGTTTGTGGTTGTGATTATAATGTCTGGTACTAAGCGAAGTTAAGAACATTATTGTGAGAAAAAGAAATAAAATGCTCACCTCAATCCACTGTTTATCGTCATAAAAATTGGCACACCAGGTCCCTGTTAAATCTCCATAATTTGGATAGACATCTGGAGGCCCTAGCATCTGTGTTGCTAGGAACCGCCTGAAACAATGGCATATATTACATGTTATCCTATAGTTCTGTTGTATTCAAGGCCTCATAAGCGTTAAATCTGTGAATATGTGTGTACATAGAACCAAATTAGACTTGACATATCCACAGTTTACAGTAAAGTGTTCTATATTTGAACAAGGATATTATATTCCAATAATTAATAAATTACTCATTTGGAATGGTACACTATCGCTGTTATAAGAAAGGTCGATAAGTGTTTTAATGTAGCAGGATTACAGACGACAGACGATACGGTGTTCATCAATGGTTGGTTGGTTGGTTTGTTGTTTGACGCCGCACTCAGCAATATTCCAGCTGTAAGACGGCGGTCTGTAAATAATCGAGTCTGGACCAGACAATCCAGTGATTAATATCATGAGCATCGATCCACGCAATTGGGATCGATGACATGCACCAACCAAGTCAGCGAGCCTGACCACGCGATCCCGTTAGTCGCCTTTTACGACAAGCATTGTCACCTTTTAAGGCAAGCATGGGTTGCTGAAGACCTATTCTACCCCGGAATCTTCACGGGCATGTTCATCAATGGCCAATATTTAAACTCAGATAGTATGAACGTGAAACCAGCAAGGTGTGTTTACCATGGTTCATATCGATCCGGGCGGTCGGGTAGCCTAGTGGTTAAAGCGCTCGCTCGTCAAGCTGAAGACCCGGGTTCGATTCCCGACATTGGTACAATGTGTGAAGCCCATTTCTGGTGTCCCCCGCCGTGATATTGCTGGAATATTGCTAAAAGCGGCGTAAAACCCCACTCACTCACTCACTCACTCATATCGATCCTGGGGACGATGCTGCGCCAAGTGTCTACACAGTAGTACAAAACTCGTCTTGGAATCGGATCCAAAGTTCCCCAAAGAGATACTTGTGAACGACGAGTGAGAATAAAGATATATGTTTATCCTTTGAAAGGTTTTTGTGGAGTGACCACAGTCCTTCTAAGGTGTCCAGTATACAACAGGGGCAGTCGGGTAGCCTAGTGGTTAAAGCGTTCGCTCGTCATGCCGAAAACCCGGGTTCGATTCCCGACATGGGTACAATGTGTGAAGCCCATTTCTGGTGTCCCCCGCCGTGATATTGCTGGAATATTGCTAAAAGCGGCGTAAAACCATACTCACTCACTCACTCAGTATACAACACGGCTGAGTATCCAAGCTGACCATGTTGGCAAAACGGTTGAGGCTATTTTGTTAGTGCACAGGGTGTGACTTTCACAAATTAATCATGCAGTAAGCTTAGAAAAAAGGTAAAACAGGTAAAAAGGAAAACTACAAAAGATATTTAAAATTTTTAAACTGCCACATTGATGCTATTTCAAAGCGAAAGTAAATATGTATATACATACGGATCAACGACACCGAATTCTGACGACACACCAATCACTGACGTCATCCAGGTCTCAACAGTGCCTGTAAATGAATAGCCCCTTAGTGCTCACATCGAAATGATGAACTGTATTTGTAGAATAGTTTAATTTGTAGAACGTTATTCGTTTGCTATAATCTTTGTGTCAAACACTTTTGTACTTTGATTCCAATCACAATAGTTTCGATGAAAAAATATGAATGAACAATATGAAACCTATTTGTATAAATGGGTGACCCCCGAAGCAAACAAACACACCTAATTAGTCATCTTGATAAATGTGATCGCCTGGATAAGCGCTAACCTGTCATTTTTAATAGGATTGTCATCAATACGTGTTTCCTGACAAGAGAAATGCATTTAGTGTTTTGATCACACTGTAACTAGGCCACTTTGATGCCACTCACCCATGGGTTGAATACATTCAGTTCCTGCTTCATCCTCTAGATTCAGGGACGACGGAGGTTCGTAGGCACAGTAGCAGGTAAGTGTTGAGGCAGTGTAGAAAACAGACCGCGTGTGGTTGGCGACGAAACAGGCGCGGAGACACATCATACGGCTGGATACCAGTGACTGGACATGGATGCCTGTTGTCGGCTTCTTATCATTGTAGTCAGACCAAGGAATGAAAACTCTTGGTTCACACGGAGTCGCCACTACTACACTAAATATAGCCGCGAGTATTGGGGCAAGACATAGGTGTTGTAGTATGATCATGACGCTCCCTGGAACACAACAGTCTTACAGTATGAATGTATGCAATAAGTGCTGTCACAAGTGTTGTTGAGGATGCGCGAGTATATGTACTGTCTACATCCAGTAATGAGCCCCAAGCATGACATTTCCCTAGCGCACAAATGTTTCGGTGCCCCTTGTTTTTCTGGTTGGAATCTGTATAGCTAACAGCAATTCTCCCGTACTTATCACCATAGTGCTGAATTATTGATGGTTCTTTGTATTCTTGATGTATTCAGACGATTGATTGATAGACATTGCCTTTTAAACCCGAACATATGTCTAGTAATGTCAGTGGGTGCATTCATGTATGTCCATGGTTATAATGGGGCACTTAGAACATGCTGAGACCATTAGGTTTAAGTGAGGTGGTTCAAGTCAGTTATTTTATGAATGCCCTGTTGCTTTACATTTCTACATTTCAGACTGAACATGGTAAAGCAAATACATTTGTATTCAAAGTCAGAGTTCATATGAACATACGATAAGAACAGAAGAGTTTTGAAAGGTTTGACAATCCAAGCTGACTTAAATAAAAAGGGGCGGTCGGGTAGCCTAGTTGTTAAAGCGTTCGCTCGTCACGCCGAAGACCCGGGTTCGATTCCCGACATGGGTACAATGTGTGAAGCCCATTTCTGTTGTCCCCCGCCGTGATATTGCTGGAATATTGCTAAAAGCGGCGTAAAGCCATACTCACTCACTCACTCACTTAAATAAAAGCTTCTATAACTAAGAGTGACAAAACCCATAATACATAATAACAAATCGAATCATATCAGCTAAATAAAGCAACAAATACCTGTCAATAGCCAACAGAAATCATTGCATAAAGCAGAGTCAATAGTTCGATTCCGACCATATCATGCAATAGATACATGTGTCCACGAATCACTGTCAAAACCTGTCAATGCATATCCTTTGAGTATGTTTTTCTTCGCGACTAATTAGTTTGTACGAATCAGATGAACCGAGGACCAAAATTGGGGTGAATCTAGAAATCATACACAATCAGTATATTCAGTCACCACTGCGAATTGCGTTCTCATACACAACACCCGATTCCGAAGACAATTGATCACTGATACAAATGAGTTCTGAGGAATGCCACACACATGCCAGCTATACTTTTGTCTATGAATTTCTTATTGATTAAAATAGAATAGGTGTTGTATCCATGCAGAATAAATACACTTTTTAAGAACATGTCCATGTAAAGCCTTGTATTGTTACTGGATGTAATGGGCTACACCTTTTCTAAATATAACATGAGGAGCACAAACAAAATGTTTTGCACACTGTCTGGCTTACTATAGCTCCAGGTTAGACTGAACATATATGTATCTTACAAATTGGGAAGTAACGCACTGCATTATTTCTGAATGTAGTGTATCAACATAGCGCAACTTTTGCGGCACTATCGCGCCACTTTCATGGTACTATCGCACAACTAATGCGGCACTATCGCGCCACTTTCATGGTACTATCGCACAACTAATGCGGCATTATCGCGCCACTTTCATGGTACTATCGCACAACTAATGCGGCATTATCGCGCCACTTTCATGGTACTATCGCACAACTAATGCGGCACTATCGCGCCACTTTCATGGTACTATCGCACAACTAATGCGGCACTATCGCGCCACTTTCATGGTACTATCGCACAACTAATGCGGCACTATCGCGCCACTTTCATGGTACTATCGCACAACTAATGCGGCATTATCGCGCCACTTTCATGGTACTATCGCACAACTAATGCGGCATTATCGCGCCACTTTCATGGTACTATCGCACAACTAATGCGGCACTATCGCGCCACTTTCATGGTACTATCGCACAACTAATGCGGCACTATCGCGCCACTTTCATGGTACTATCGCACACCTAATGTGGCATTATCGCGCCACTTTCATGGTACTATCGCACAACTAATGCGGCACTATCGCGCCACTTTCATGGTACTATCGCACAACTAATGCGGCATTATCGCGCCACTTTCATGGTACTATCGCACAACTAATGCGGCATTATCGCGCCACTTTCATGGTACTATCGCACAACTAATGCGGCACTATCGCGCCACTTTCATGGTACTATCGCACAACTAATGCGGCATTATCGCGCCACTTTCATGGTACTATCGCACAACTAATGCGGCACTATCGCGCCACTTTCATGGTACTATCGCACAACTAATGCGGCATTATCGCGCCACTTTCATGGTACTATCGCACAACTAATGCGGCATTATCGCGCAACTTTCATGGTACTATCGCACAACTAATGCGGCACTATCGCGCCACTTTCATGGTACTATCGCACAACTAATGCGGCATTATCGCGCCACTTTCATGGTACTATCGCACAACTAATGTGGCATTATCGCGCCACTTTCATGGTACTATCGCACAACTAATGCGGCACTATCGCGCCACTTTCATGGTACTATCGCACAACTAATGCGGCACTATCGCGCCACTTCATGGTACTATCGCGCCACTTTCATGGTTCTTTTGCACCACTTTTGCGCCACTATCGCGGTATTATCGCACCATTTTCGAGTCACTTTCGCGATACTTTCACGGCACTATCGCGATACTTTCACGGCACTATCGCGAAACTATTTCGCGATACAGGGGAAGGAACTTTTGAAATGTTGTGTATGCAGGGAGTAGTTGATGGAAACCATTTCAACTTTAAGAAGGATTGAGTCTATTCACCTTCTAGGTTACACTCAACCAAATGTTTTCCCATAGACTTCTATAGTAACGTTATGATTTTTTTTTAAATAACTAAGCATTCAACAGCTATTACCTGTATGTGTGTGCACAGTTTGGCCTTAGAGCAGCAATAAAATAAATTAAAATGACTAGCTTAGTCACCTCCTTTTCCGAGTACCGGAAGCTAAACACACCACCCCCAGTTTCGCACCAAATGTCACCTACTTGAAAATAGCTGTGGTCACATTCAGCATAAGTCATCATGTTGAAAAAGACAGTACTAAATATAGAAAAACATGGTCAGTTTTAATAACTGGATGGATGTACATTTGAAAGACATAAAAATCTTACAGAATATGCTCCAATCACAGCCTGCAGATATCTCTCGAACTACACTGAAGGCTCCCTACGAAAACCGCACTGTCCAAACTGGTTCTGATTTGGTGTAGAACCTGTAGACAAATCAGAATATATTTGCACTTGTCAAATCTGTGATTTATGTATTGTATATATATGTAGCTTCTCAGAAAAAAAATGGAAATTGGATTAAACGTCACTACTTGTTCCTATCCAGCATGTCTATATGGCACCAGAATACATAGTTTTGATGCACAGAAAGAGTTGTGAGAGTTTAAGGATGTACACTTCATCAATGTTTTACAAAAGGTATTTCTGTATTAATAAAGAAGTTTCTACCTTCATGCACTGACCATGGGAGTTAATTCATATTTCATAAAAGAAGGGGGTCAAGGGTCAATTCTATAAATAATTGAGGCTGCATAGATCATATCACCCTAAAATATTTTTTCGACTAAAAAAATTGAACAAATCTTTAAACCTCAAAACCAGTTACAATACATATTTAAAATTGAGTAGTGGTCTGTTGTTTGCCTTACTTTGCTGACATCATCAGAACATAGCAGAGTCTGCTACATTCATGGAATATGGTTTTGACACTCATGACATGATGCGATTGATATTGTTTGAGATTGCTCGAACTTACACCATCCATTGTTTATATAATGAAACACTGAAATGGCTGTCAGCATTTGGTAAATCATCTATGGAGGGGCTATCACAAATGTTTGTGCTTTCATATACTTCAAAAATCAAAAGTATAATCACCTATGATATAGGCTGGTGACATAAGTACACATGGAAAGGAATCAGAAAAAAATCGTAAAATTGGACAGAGAGCGTGGAATTCAGGCCAACAATAAGCAAGGGACACATTAAGCAGCTTTAAAGTCATCATATATGTAAGGCTGGATAATGAGCTTTACCAGAAAATAGGAGGTAAAAGGGTGCATTGTTGCCAGCAATCTCAAATGCTGACCAGTGAACCATACCGCCTATTAAAGCCGAGAAATAGAAATGGACCCTCAAGTAGAAGAAAGCTCTTTGAAACCACAACATGGAAGGAAATTACACTTAACTCTATTGATTTATTTAGTTAAGACTTTAAAATACTCACAGGACATCAAACATCCTTACTGTTTAATGTTTCAAGGTGGCTAAACTTGCTTATTTCAGTTATTTGCCAGTTTCAATGAAACAAAGTTAAAATTCCATATAATTTTGAAAATGTACAGCTTATCCTGACATAAATGTAATTCTTTTTATTCACAATTAACAGTGTCATGCAATGCCAGCTTAAAATAGTGTTTCTCTCCAATAATTTATGGGTTTATAGGGGAATGAAAGATACAATGCATTTTACTAAACAGGGGAGATAATTCAGTATTGTCGAACACTATCACATTCTTTACAGATGATTTCAGAACCATAATGTTACATTCCAAAAGAGCCAGTGGATATTATTTTCATCTAAGCAGGTTCTGGGACTGGTGTATAGCCCTTCTTTCATGTTTGCAAACTGAAAAACTGCACAGTGGGGCATTAAGGGAGCACCGTTAGAAATGTCTAGTGCATGAGGGTGATCTTATTATGGCACTTGATAGTGAGCAACAGAGGAACCTCAAGTGGACTGGGGTTCTTAAATGTACTTAATGTACCTACATGTCCAAGTTCCACAACTTCTACAAGGTAATAGAGCGCAGCGAGGCAAAACAAGGGTTGTCGATCACACACTGCCAACACCGGACTTCGGATCAGCTTCTCCAAATGCCAAATTCGATGTCGAAACTCCTACTTCTTCTGCATGAGTGCACATATACCTCCCCAGTCAACATCAGGCATGCGAAAAGCTGAAAAAAAGTGTTCAGACAATATCAAATGGCAAACCAGTTTGGATGTAACAGCCAGGAGTCAGTTCTTGAGGGGACAAAATAATTATATGAAAGTCATATAAGTAAAAAATAAGTCTGTTTTAAGAAACTTAATAGAAAAATAGCATCATTCATTCACACAAAAGCACCTAACAGAAAGA